GGTTGTAGATGTAAAACGGGTGTGTAAAACTGTGTAAAGCTTGGGATGTAGGTATAAAGCGGGTCTAGGTGTAAAATAGTTGTAGATGTAAAAACGGGTGTAAAACTGTGTAAGCAGGATGTGGAGGTATAAAGCGGTCCTAGGTGTAAAAATAGTTGTAGATGTAAAACAGGTGTGGCAAACTGTCAAAGCAGGATGTAGGTATAAAAAGCGGGTCTAGGTGTAAAATGGTTGGTAGATGTAAAACAGGTGTAAAACTGTGTAAGCGGGATGTAAGAGGTATAAAACGGTCTAGGTGTAAAACAGGGTGCTAGCCAGTTAAAAGGGTGTTGTTGTAAAACGCGTTAGTTGTGAGGGGTATAACGGTGATCGATTTTAAACCGGTATTGCTCTGTTTTCAAACCTATATTCGATTTTAGGTACGATTATTTTTGTTGTACATTATATTGTAAAGGAACACATTCCTATAAAGATTGGGCGGTGTAGGGGAAGCCGGGTTTGATTCCCCACATGGGTCCAATGTACATGTGTGAAGCCCTTTTGAAAGGTGTCCCCGCCGTGATATTGCTGGAATATTGCTAAACGAGGCGAAAAAACACACTCCCTCACTCATATAAATATGTCTTCCTCGTGCGGGTATAGTGCACAGTGTGAAACACATTTAGACTTTCATGTATGTAGATTTGTTCCGTCCCACCCTACCCCTCCCCCTTTGCTGCACACATTAAACGTGGGCGCCACTGTTATCAAACTGTAAATATACTCTGTTGATTCTTACTGCCATTAAGGTAGCCTTTCTGGTTCTAACAACTACACATATCATATGCCGTGAATGGAATTTTCCTCATAGCCATTCAAAAAGTGAAATGCTTGCGTTTCGATGAACAAAAGCCTTGAGGATACAAACGACTTCAAAAAGTAAACAGATTGGTTGTTGGTAAACAAAAGCGCTTTGTTACTGACGCTTTTCGATTGTGACATTGTGACATTGTTTGTACTACCTGGTTTCAATCCTAGCGTTGGTTTATTGTTACCGTGTCCATTTGGTAACTTGTGATACTTTTCCTTGTACACAATACACGCATGCGTGAATGTACACCGCTTGCTTGACAACTACAATCGAATCTATGTCGAAACGTCGCCTGTACTGAATAAAGAAGTTGTATGTACAGAAATATTGTCATCATTCTACATGAATGTATTCAATATTCAGTCAAACCACGGCATCTGAATGTGTGTCAGAAATTCACGAAGGAAGCCGCCCAGTGTGAGTGTGTGTGTGTGTGTGTGTGTGTGTGTGTGTGTCTTTGTGTGTCTATATATGTGTATGTGTTTGCGTCGAGTGTCTGTATGTGTGTATCTGTACCTGTGTATGCGTTGTGTCGTATGTGTGTGCATATTAAGTTTGTGTCGCTGCGTGTCTTTGTGTGTGTCTGAATATGCGTTTGTGTCGTGTGTCTGTATATGCGTTTGCGTCTTGTGTCTGTATATACGTTTGTGTCGTGTGTCTGTATATGCGTTGTGTCGTGTGTCCGTATATGCGTTTGCGTCTGTATATGCGTTTGTGTCGTGTGTCTGTAGATGTTTGTGTCGTGTGTCTGTGAGTATCCGCCTGTGTCTATCTGTGTCTGTGTATGTGTGTGTGTCGTTGTGTGTATAAGTGTGAGTGTGTCTATCTATGTATGGAGCGGTGGGGTAGCCTAGTGGTTAAAGCGTTGGCTCTTCACGCCGAAGACCCGGGTTCGAATCCCCACATGGGTACAGTGTGTGAAGCCCATTTCTGGTGTCCCCCGCCGTGATGTTGCTGGAATATTGCTAAAAGCGGCGTGAAACCATATTCATTTACACACTCACTTCCAGACTCACAACTCAGTCAGTCAGTCTATGTATGTGTTTGTGTCGTGTGTCTGTGAGTATCCGCCTGTGTCTATCTGCGTCTGTGCATGTGTGTGTGTCGTTGTGTGTATAAGCATGAGTGTGTCTGTCTATGTATGTGTTTGTGTCGTGTGTCTTTGTGTGTGTCTGTATATGCGTTTGTGTCGTATGTCTGTATATGTTTGAGTCGTTGGTTCTCTGTGAGTCGCTGGACTTTCGACTCCGACTGCTCATGACTTACACAATCCCTTCACTGTTGCAGACTAGATTGTCTGGGTACCAGCCGTCCGAGGTCATCCTTCACTGTTGCAGACTAGATTGTCTGCGTACCAGCTGTCCGAGGTCATCCTTCACTGTTGCAGACTAGATTGTCTGGGTACCAGCTGTCCGAGGTCATCCTTCACTGTTGCAGACTAGATTGTCTGCGTACCAGCTGTCCGGGGTCTTCCTTCACTGTGGCAGACTAGATTGTCTGGGTACCAGCTGTCCGAGGTCATCCTTCACTGTTGCAGACTAGATTGTCTGCGTACCAGCTGTCCGAGGTCATCCTTCACTGTTGCAGACTAGAATGTCTGGGTACCAGCTGTCCGAGGTCATCCTTCACTGTTGCAGACTAGATTGTCTGCGTATCAGCTGTCCGAGGTCATCCTTCACTGTGGCAGACTAGATTGTCTGAATGTACCAGCTGTCCGAGGTCATCCTTCATTGTTGCAGACTAGATTGTCTGCGTACCAGCTGTCCGGGGTCTTCCTTCACTGTGGCAGACTAGATTGTCTGGGTACCAGCTGTCCGAGGTCATCCTTCACTGTTGCAGACTAGATTGTCTGCGTACCAGCTGTCCGAGGTCATCCTTCACTGTTGCAGACTAGATTGTCTGGGTACCAGCTGTCCGAGGTCATCCTTCACTGTGGCAGACTAGATTGTCTGCGTACCAGCTGTCCGAGGTCATCCTTCACTGTGGCAGACTAGATTGTCTGGGTACCAGCTGTCCGAGGTCATCCTTCACTGTTGCAGACTAGATTGTCTGCGTACCAGCTGTCCGGGGTCATCCTTCACTGTGGCAGACTAGATTGTCTGGGTACCAGCTGTCCGAGGTCATCCTTCATTGTTGCAGACTAGATTGTCTGCGTACCAGCTGTCCGGGGTCTTCCTTCACTGTGGCAGACTAGATTGTCTGGGTACCAGCTGTCCGAGGTCATCCTTCACTGTTGCAGACTAGATTGTCTGCGTACCAGCTGTCCGAGGTCATCCTTCACTGTGGCAGACTAGATTGTCTGGGTACCAGCTGTCCGAGGTCATCCTTCACTGTGGCAGACTAGATTGTCTGCGTACCAGCTGTCCGAGGTCATCCTTCACTGTGGCAGACTAGATTGTCTGGGTACCAGCTGTCCGAGGTCATCCTTCATTGTTGCAGACTAGATTGTCTGCGTACCAGCTGTCCGGGGTCTTCCTTCACTGTGGCAGACTAGATTGTCTGGGTACCAGCTGTCCGAGGTCATCCTTCACTGTTGCAGACTAGATTGTCTGCGTACCAGCTGTCCGGGGTCTTCCTTCACTGTGGCAGACTAGATTGTCTGCGTACCAGCTGTCCGGGGTCTTCCTCCAGTGTGGTGCAAAGAAAAACTAGTATATCTCCTTCCCACAAGCACTGAACTAAAATATGGAATTTAATTAACACCATATATTGATAAATACTAAGGACTTTTAAAAGAAAATCGAATTTTGATTTTGTATTGTGCCCGATCATGAACTTCCCTTGATGATGCATGTGACGATATCATCTTCACGTGGAATATCATGCCCGATCATGAACTTCCCTTGATGATCTGACCCTATGATCTACACGTGGTGTATCATGTTTGATCATAAACTTTCCTTCATGATCTGACCCTATGATCCACACGCGGTGTACCTTGTTTGATCATAAACTTCCCTTGATGATCTGACCCTATGATCTACACGTAGTGCATCATGTTTGATCATAAACTTCCCTTGATGATCTGACCCTATGATCTACACGTGGTGTATCATGTTTTGATCATAAACTTCCCTTGATGATCTGACCCTATGATCTACACGTTGTGCATCATGTTTGATCATAAACTTCCCTTGATGATCTGACTGTATGATCTACACATGGTGTATCATGTTTGATCATAAACTTCCCTTGATGATCTGACCCTATGATCTACACGTGGTGTATCATTTTTTATCATAAACTCCCATTGATGATCTGACCCTATGATCTACACGTGGTGTATCATGTTTGATCATAAACTTCCCTTGATGATCTGACCCTAAGATCTACACGTGGTGTATCATGTTTGATCATAAACTTCCCTTGATGATCTGACCCTATGATCTACAAGTGGTGTATCATGTCTGATCATAAACTTCCCTTGATGATCTGACCCTATGATCTACACATGGTGCATCATGTTTGATCATAAACTTCCATTGATGATCTGACCCTATGATCTACAAGTGGTGTACCATGTCCGATCATAAACTTCCCTTGATGATCTGACCCTATGATCTACACATGGTGTATCATGTTTGATCATAAACTTCCCTTGATGACCTGACCCTATGATCTACACATGGTGTACCATGTCCGATCATGAACTTCCCTTGCTGATCTGACCCTATGATCTACACGATCTGACCCTATGATCTACACATGGTGTATCATGTGAAACTTCTGAAACAGATAAAATCGTGTCGATCAAGCCATTATGATCTTATTTGCTTTTGCTTGGCCGATATTCAATAATCAATTCTGAATCGACTATATGTCTTGAATAAATCATTACATCGTCTATTCACTTAACATATAATCAGCTCACAGATTTTAGTCTTATTCAGTCAGCCGGCCTCTCTCTGAAAATGTACATACTGGCTAGCTCGTATTCACAGTTGAAAGTTTCCTCAAGATGCTGACCCACGTGAATACACCTGGACAGAGTGAATATATTCAGATGAGTTATCTGGGCGTGCCAGGCTTGCTCCAATGTTGATTGTCTAAATATATACACATAGAGTGACATGTAGAACAGTTGATGGCGTTTTGCTACTTTTTCCTCAACGAAAACTTCCCTGTTGTGGATTAATAGTTTGTGTGGATAGGACAAGTGAGACACCACACTGGACGGACGGGTTAGCAACATACCACACTGACCAAACTGACCACACTGATCGATACCTTTCAGGTAGGTTGGTTTACAGTCTGTTTCTCAGTTTTCGTCAGAGGTGTACGATATGACTTCGAGTTATTGTCCTATTTTCGACTTGAACGCAAAAAGATTTGGGCTTTAGCCAATCATCCAACAAAATCTACGGGCATCTGACGTACAATGACTATTGCAAATCTCAACCAGGTGTCCCGTTACACTGTTAAACTATTTGTCTTATTAAAGATATAAAATATCAATATTTGTGACATCGGTTTAAAAAAAAGAGATATCCCTACTTTGAAATATTAATTACTTATTAATATAAATATACATGTATTAAATTATGTTGCAAAGATCATCAAATAACTCTCCCATTTTATGATGAAAGCGTTTCGTTACTAATATTCCATTGATCATTATGGATTAAAAGTAATCATAATGAAACGGAATTCTGTAGTATAATTCATGAAATGCGTAAAATATTTTAAAATGTTAACATCATGAATATGGAAAATATGCGAGTTTGATAAGACAGAGGTTTCACGTACTCAGAATTTTCACATCACCCGGATGGAATTCATTTTTAATGGACAAAATGTACAGTTTTAGCTGAGTGAATGAGTGAGGTTTTACCCCGCTTTTAGCAATATTCCAGCAACATCACTGCGGGGAACACCAGAATTGGGCTTCACACATCGTACCCATGTGGGGATTCGAACCCGGGTTTTCGACATGACGAACGAACGCTTTAACCACTAGGCTATCCCCCCACTACCGCCCTCCTGAATCGTCTCCCGAAGCTGAAATGTTTGCGGTGTTAGCATTGAACTATCAGGTCGTGTCTGAACCGAATTTAATTTGTCTGATTTCAAGTTTAAATTGAATCGGTGTACAGTTACACTTCAATTTTAGTATGAATATTGTTTCCTGAATCTGAAAAGTTTACGATGTTAAACCAACAAGTACCACCTTTATGTCAATGCGCCGATGAATCCCGAACGATGTAACTACCGCATGTTCCTGGTGTCAGTATTGATTTCACAAACATTTGTCTGATAATGTACATGTTGGCTGCGATACCACGTTATGACCACACAAACATTTGTCTGATAATGTACATGTTGGCTGCGATACCACGTTATGACCACACAAACATTTGTCTGATAATGTACATGTTGGCTGCGATACCACGTTATGACCACTCAAACATTTGTCTGATAATGTACATGTTGGCTGCGATACCACGTTATGACCACACAAACATTTGTCTGATAATGTACATGTTGGCTGCGATACCACGTTATGACCACACAAACATTTGTCTGATAATGTACATGTTGGCTGCGATACCACGTTATGACCACACAAACATTTGTCTGATAATGTACATGTTGGCTGCGATACCACGTTATGACCACTCAAACATTTGTCTGATAATGTACATGTTGGCTGCGATACCACGTTATGACCACACAAACATTTGTCTGATAATGTACATGTTGGCTGCGATGCCACGTTATGACCACACAAACATTTGTCTGATAATGTACATGTTGGCTGCGATACCACGTTATGACCACACAAACATTTGTCTGATAATGTACATGTTGGCTGCGATACCACGTTATGACCACACAAACATTTGTCTGATAATGTACATGTTGGCTGCGATACCACGTTATGACCACACAAACATTTGTCTGATAATGTACATGTTGGCTGCGATACCACGTTATGACCACACAAACATTTGTCTGATAATGTACCCATGTTGGCTGCGATACCACGTTATGACCACTCAAACATTTGTCTGATAATGTACATGTTGGCTGCGATACCACGTTATGACCACACAAACATTTGTCTGATAATGTACATGTTGGCTGCGATACCACGTTATGACCACACAAACATTTGTCTGATAATGTACATGTTGGCTGCGATGCTACGTTACGTTATGACCACTCAAACATTTGTCTCATGTACATGTTGGCTGCGATACCACGTTATGACCACTCAAACATTTGTCTGATAATGTACATGTTGGCTGCGATACCACGTTATGACCACACAAACATTTGTCTGATAATGTACATGTTGGCTGCGATACCAAGTTATGACCACACAAACATTTGTCTGATAATGTACATGTTGGCTGCGATAACACGTTATGACCACACAAACATTTGTCTGATAATGTACATGTTGGCTGCGATATCACGTTATGACCACTCAAAATTGCGTCGGAAAGAAAAAATATGACTTAAAAACATCACATGAGTATCATAATTATTTTATATAGGTAGATATGTTATCGTTTGATGTTATGTTGTGTCGATATGTTTAGGGTCAAATGTAACAAAGGCACAATACAACAAACTTGTTCCTGAACAAACTGTATTGGTCTCCTATCAACGAGGAAGCCGACAATGAATGTTTTGTGACAGGACAATGGTGTGTGCTGCGAACATCACTCGATTTGGGTTGGGTTGTTGTTTAACGCCGCACTCAGGAATATTCCAGCTATATGCTTGCCGTCTGTAAATAATCGAGTCCAGACCAGACAATCAATTGCTCAAGCTCCGAAAACATAACTCGAACTAAATATTTTAGCTATACAGTTAATAGAGCAGGTAAATTCGATCCAAACCAGGGCTTCACAACGTCTATGTATGATACAGTATTCGTGTTATGGTCAAGGCAGCGCTACGGTAACTTAGCGCCGTTTTGTGAAAATTTGAACCACGAGTGAGTGACTGAGGGAGTTTAGTTTTACGCCGCAGATTTTGGTTAGTTGGTTGGTCCTCTAATGTCGCAAGCTGCAGTGTTCCAGCTTAGTTGCGGAGGTCTATAAATAATCCACTATATCAGGCTCTATTCACTATTCCACGCTTCACCCAGTATATCACGCTCTATCCACTATATCAGGCTCTGTCCACTATTCCACACAACACCAAGTATATCACGCTCTATCCACTATATCAGGCTCTGTTCACTATTCCACACAACACCAAGTATATCACGCTCTATCCACTATATCAGGCTCTATTCACTATTCCACGCTTCACCCAGTATATCACGCTCTATCCACTATATATCAGGCTCTGTCCACTATTCCACACAACACCAAGTATATCACGCTCTATCCACTATATCGGAAGCTCTGTCCACTATTCCACACAACACCAAGTATATCACGCTCTATTCACTATTTCATACTCTATCCATTACATCAGACTCTATATATGACGCTGTGTTCACTAGGGGTGGGTATTGCAGAGAATTTCCATATTGCGATATATTGCACGAATATGTTTTTAATAAAAAATTACTTATAATCGAGTTAATGCTTGATTTATAAAGCAAAAACACAACAAAATCTCTATGCTTGATTAAGCTTTAATAAAACCTTTTAATCATGTTAAAATGAAGGAAACAAAGGGAAAGAACAAATTAACATCATCACAGTGGTTACTAGTTTGAACTAGTTTCTCCACTTTCAAAAAAGCCCTGAGATTTTAGACAGCAACTTGACCTGGTCAGGACATATCAGGGATCACTGGTCAATAATGAGTAAATATATATATATAACATTCAGATCCAAAACATTGCGAAACACTTGAACAAAATTAAGAACACAACTTCAAAACCGAACTAACTTGATTTCCGGTGTGAAAACGGAAATATCCGAAGGTTTCCGAGTGTTACGAAGTTTTCCGAATGCATGTCGAAAACCGGTTTTCGATCCGGGTATCGCAATACGTATCGATTTCATGTCTGAACCGGTAAAATGCCGGTAAACCGGTTATATTGCGCAGCCCTAGTGTTCACTACCCACACTCTATCCACTATACCTCTACCATGCTCGATTCACTATTTCACCTTCTATCCAGAATATCAGCTGTAGATATTCTCCATGCTCTATCTACCATACCGCTATTCACTCTTCTACGCTCTATCGAGTATATCAAAGCGCACTATTCAGAATTCCGTGCTCTATCCAGTATATCACTATCCTTTCACTAAATTACACCTTATCCAGTATATCAGTATATCACTCTCCACTCACAATCCGTGCTCTATCATCTATACAGCGGAGGCCACTATCGAGTGGTCGGCTCATAAGATAACGCTCCAGAATGAGGCGTTCGCTTTCCTGGAAATAACCATGTAACCACTCTCGATAAAAACGTAAATCGAACTCCTTGATTTGGTATTTAATCAGTACAATCAGCCATTGATGTTTACAGGAGCCCACAATTCTCAGAGAACCATTTCCATCACAGGTATCACAATCTGTGTGAGCCTGTAAGAGCGGATACAGCCCTATATACGCAGTCGTACTCTTCTGCATTACTACCTTCGGTAAAGGCATTAACCATTAGCGTTGGTTTGAACGTGATCTGTATATTTCCTCCAAATCCTCGGAAAATGAATGTAGCACAAGACTACATTGGTTGCCCGTGTCTCTTTTTCCCAGAATCATGCTCGTTATGTGAATCACTGGATTGTCTGGTCCAAGCTGGATTACTTGCAGTGTAGTTGAAATATTGCTAAATAATTAGCACATAAGTAAAAACAAATCTTTGACACAGTGGTTTTGTGAAACTATTCCATCAAATCAAAAACATATACAAACAAAACAATACTGAACTTAGAATCACGTTACATTTCAGTGTGACGTTTTCACCAATCCATCGGGATCCTGTGGCCAGGCTCGCTGGCTTGGTTGACACTTGTCATCGGTTCCCAATTGCGCAGATCGATGCTCATGCTGTTGATCACTGGATGGTCTGGTCCAGACTCGATTATTTACAGACCGACGCCATATAGCTGAAATAGTGCTGAGTGCGGCGTAAAACTAAACTCACTCACTCACTCACCCATCCATTGTTATCATGTTGTCAAAACTGTTTGGAATTTCTAACTGTCCAAACATTTAAATATCATTCAATAGCCCTGTTTCCTAATGTTGTATGTTACTATCTCTAGGTTATATTGGAGCTAAATACATGCTTGTATGCAAAATTGCTGAT